CAGACAGACAGACAGACAGACAGACAGACAGACAGACAGACAGACAGACAGACAGGCAGACAGACAGACAGACAGACAGACAGACAGACAGAGATTGAGGGAAAAAGTGGTAATAACACAGACCGACAGACGGACAAACAGACGGACAGACAGAAGGAAATCGGAAAAAAAGACAGACAGACAGACAGACAGACAGACAGACAGACAGACAGACAGACAGACAGACAGAGTGTACTAAAGGAGAAATATCGAGATCGAAAGCACTTATTAGGAAACCTTGTGACATGACAGACATGAAGGCTTGGTCGGCCAGACATAGATCTCTGTGCTCGTCATCAGAGAATATGATGACGGGACGACTTCAAAAGACTGCTCATCTAATTTCTTGACGAACTTGTGGTCCTCCAATCTCATTTTAAAGTACGCTTGTATTAAATCGGCGAGTTTGGGGAGGGAAAAGGGGGGAGGGGGTAATATTATGTGACAGCTATTTCCTTGTGGTGTTTTTTTAATTGTATAAAAACAAATTTGTCTCTTATGTGGTTGACTGGATACTGGACTTTGAGAGAAGGACTGATTCCTGAACTTAAAGCGTTATCCCTGATCCTTTCTTGTTTTTGTTTTTGTTTTGGGTTAGATTTTTATTTAGGGGGGGGGGCTGTCGTTTCGTTGTTGTTAATGTTGTTGTCGCTATTGCTGTTGTTTGTTTGTTTATTTGTTTGTTTATTTGGGTTCTTTTGTTTTCATGGAGGGTGTATTAAGAAAAACCGCAGCCTTTAATTTTATTAGTTTTAAAAATTGTTCTAAAAAAGGAGAAATTTGTTGTACTCCAAAACCTATTACGTATTACGTAGATGTTGATTGAACACAAGGACATACACACTCACACACACACACACACACACACTCTCTCTCTCTCTCTCTCTCTCTCTCTCTCTCTTTCTCACATACACACACACACACACGCAATGCGCTGAAAGCACTGAATTCCATGAAGCCGACGGAAACAATTGTTAGCGAAACATTTGTTCAACTTTCAGCAGAGACCTTATATGACGTTCTTTCTTTCAACCTCGAACATTTCACATAACTATAACATTTCTGTTACATTTTCCGATACAACATCGGCACGGTTCTTGTGGTTGGTTTATTTGTGCGATTAATGCTTTCCAACACGGCATTTTCTTTTGTGAAAATACGTATCGGTCGTGTATCTAATCGACATTTAGCATAGATTTGAACCAATTGAATTAAAATGAGATGCGATTATAAATAATATGATTATTATTATGTTCAGTCAGTGTCAGTTCTAAAGATATCTAGATCTACCTCTGCCTCTCTTTCTTTTTACTTTTTCCAGCGATAGCAAGACAATGCCCAGGACGTGTGTGTTGTATAGGAACTGAATATTGAATATCTCCTAGCTTTGATAAACAAAAAACAACGACAAAAGCAACAACAACAAAACAAGCAAACAAACACCCTAACAAAACAAAGAAAACATCAACAACCAAAAACAAACAAAACAAAACCAAATAAAAAAACTCGACTGCCCCGTAGGGGCCAACCTTCAGAATTTGATTTTTTTTTCTCCTTTCATGAACTTCTCAACATTGTCTTAAGTGCCTCTAGTCTATTTTTATATCTTTAGCATTATTGGCCAACGGGGCGGCCCAGCTTTCGTAGTAGTGGTCCTAGAACTTTTTATCTCGCCTTTTTATTTTAAAAAAATATTTTGTGAATTGTAACACTGTAGAGATCCGGTGACACCAATCAGCTTCTTTTAACCTTTTAAATCCTTATTCATTGTATTCTCCCCCAGTTAATCGTATAGCAGCTATCTAGTCCTCTGATATCTAGATCTAGATCCCAGTGCAACATTTGTAATAATTCTTAAACTGTTTGCATTTATTTCTCGCTCTTTCAGAATTTAAAATAATTTAAAGATTGTGCACCGCGAAAACGGAGAGAAGGATAGATCTCTAGATTTACTTAGATCTAATGAATAACGAAAAGCACGAAGGACGAAGGCTTTACTGATTGGTTCGATTATGCTCGAAATTCAAAAACAGGAAGTAGCAATTTTTTCTGTTTCATGAACGTTTGACAAAGTGTTTACTGGATGTGCCGAAAGAGAACGAATACAAAAAGCCTGTACTTAACAATACAAAATCAAATGATTGTGTGAAAAGCGTGGACCTGATTCAACAAAAATGAAACCTCAGTAAGTAAACTAGACTCTAGACTAGAGCTAGAAATCTAGATTTCGTGTATCATCGACTCCGATCACCTCGCCCATCGGCGGCATCGGGCTGAAACTGAAGTGTCTGAAGAATCTAAGGCTCTTTGAAATGCCGTGTAGCCTATTAGATCTAGATCTATTTTTCTCTCTGCTCGCCTCGCCTCACTTGTTGAGATCCCACTCCCACCTGACTAAACATTAAACTCATAAAAGCCAAAGAAGCACTGATAAAATGGGACAAGAAAAATCAGTTGAAGCAATTAAAGCGGGTGTTGATGCTTTTTTCGGGAGGAAGTTCGTAATCATAATCGAGCCAGTCAAGAGCGACCAAGGTCCAATGTCTGATGAAACAAAACTAGAATCTAGATCTAGATATATCTAGATCTAGATCTAGAATAGAGAGGGTTAGGCTGTAGAATAGAGGGTTAGGATTTGGGGTTGGGTTTGGGTAAAAGGGTTAGGTGTTTGTTGGAGTGGTGGCTCGTTACAGAAGTCCTTCCTTTTTATTCTTGAAATGAATCTTCTAACAAGACTTTCTTTGTCCTAGATCTAGAGATATCTAGATCTAGTTGGCAAGCAATTGTTTTTCATTCAATTTCAACCCTTTAAATATTCAAAATTTGTTGGTTGAATCAAGATAAGAAATCTAGATCAAGGCTAGATCAGGGTTTGGGGTAGGCCTAGTCTAGATCTAAATCTAGAGGTCCCTCACCTACTTTATTGGAAGATAGAGATAGCATTTTATTGTGACTGAGTGACGCTGTGGACAACTAACACAGCGTTAATAGCAACAGAGTGGCTCTGTGACAATTAATGCCGCGTTAATTGCGACAGAGTGAGTCTGTGACCCCCCAAAAAAGGAAGTGGTGGCTATTCTCTCCAGGGGTGAGAACACCGTTACCCTGTGTCTGTCTTTCTACTTTCTATTCTCTCACCCCCCCCCCCCCTCAGACACACAGAACAGGACAGAGAATTTAGCTTTTATAAAAAGTTGTACAGACCTAGATCTAGATCAGTTTCAGGTTTAGTTTTATCCAAGTGACTATTTCTCAGAACGTTCAGGAAAATAAACTTGAACTCTATTTCTCCGAATGGTTTCCGTTTTCGAGATTTTTTTATTTGCGAAATTTAGGCATCATCTTTCATTCTGCCGTTCTGCGAGGACTGGGAAGAAGCATTTTTTTGCATCAAATTCAATTGCTAGAGCGAGAGATTTTTGAAGGGAGTGTATACAGACCCGGTAACCGGGAACAAAGTCATGAAATATAGAGACCTGGTAGGGGAATTTTTTTGTGAATTCAGTGCCCTGTTGACTGTTGGCTCAGGGTAGACCTAGGTTCTTCTAGATCTATGGCCTAGGTCTAGATCTCGACGGACAGACTTTTATATAAACCATTTTAATCTAGTTTCGAGGCCTAGATCTAAATGAAGATTGCGGATGTCTTCGATGAACGATCATTTTTACTTCATTTTGGAGTTGGAGGAATCAATAAAGATAATTTGAAGTTGAAGAAAAGAACAATGTCATGATTTCAATCAAGCAGTCACCTTCTATATTTCTCTATATCTCTCCATCTCTCTCCCTTCTTTTTTTCTGCCTCTCTCTCTCTCTCTCTCTCTCTCTCTCTCTCTCTCTCTCTCTCTCTCTCTCTCTCTCTCTCTCTCTCTCTCTCTCTCTCTCTCTCTCTC